ACTGACACTGACTGTTTTAGTCACCTGACTACATCTGATTTCTCTTAAAGTCGTAACTGTGATATACAGTAAATACATGTGTGATTATGTCCGACCAGCACTGAGTCAGCATGTAACAGACACGAACAGGAAACACGGCTCGTACACAGATGCAGACAGATGCCTAGACGTCTGGTCATTGTCCAGCTGGCCTAGCAGACGGGCCGGACCAGCTTGGTGAATCCCACATGCTTCAGAACCACGGCGCTGTAAAACCGGCCAGACGGGCTGATGAAATTGCACACATGCAAGCGGTCAGGACGAGTCCACTTTCAGAGTGCAGTTGCGGACAGAGCCATGCTGGAGGAACGGACTACACCCGCCCCCACCACACGGCCCCCGCTCACTTTGCCCCCATATACACCCCCTACTGCAGTAGAGGTCCCAGGCCTAGGAGCATCAGGGGGTGGGGGGGGGGGTCACTGACAGTCAGTCGGTCGAGGCCCCAGAGGGCGGGGGGCATTAGGTGAGCCTGACCGTGAGCCTCCATGTCCGTCCACACCCCCCGGGCCCCCGCTGCCCTCAGAGGGCCCCCGCCACCCCGCCCACGGGCCTGAAACCCAATCGGCCTCCTGAGTGAGACCCCTGTCGTCTCCGCGACACAGCAGGAAGTCGCCCACGGGGGGCGCCAGGCCCACGTGGTCTTCACCATGACCTTCAGCCGCAACCCCCCCCCCCACGCCCATCCAGATACACTGCTCAACACAGCCGGCAGAACCAAGTCACGGGTCCGAGTCCAAGTCAGATCCCGCATACCAGCGCAGTCTCCTGGGCCGGCCTGCACGCCCTCGTCTTCTGCACTGGCCCTTGCTGCCTTGGCCTCCTTTAGCTCGTCTCGTCTGCTTTTCAGATCAGACTCCCTCCAGTGCCCTGCTGCCCCGATTAGCCGCGCGCCGTGATTCAGCCCTGAGAAATGTAAACAGGGCCGCTGGCTGCTTCGGTGCTTGCTCTTGGTTGTGGTTGTGCTTTTCCAAGGCATACATTATTCCGGAAGGATCATGCGTGTTTGGGCTGTTTAATAACCTCGCGTGATCATTCTCAGGCCCCACACTCTGGGGGCGGCTGCAAGGTCCGCCATCTGGGGCCTTTCGCTCTGGGGCCCACACTTCAAAATCTGCCCTCTAGGGCCCTCGTTTTGGGGCCCCTACTACAGGGCTTGCACTCTGGAACCCACACTGTGGGGCCAGCGCTCCGGGGCCCGCTGTAAGGGGTCCACACTCTGGGGCCCACACTCCAGGGCTTGTGCTCTGGGGCCCACACTCCAGGGCTTGTGCTTTGGGGCCCACACTCTGGGGCCCACACTCCAGGGCTTGAGCTCTGGGGCCCACATTCTGGGGCCCACACTCCAGGGCTTGAGCTCTGGGGCCCACACTCTGGGGCCCGCGCTCCAGGGCTTGCGCTCTGGGGCCCACACTCTGGGGCCTACACTGTGGGGCCCACCCTGGAATCCAAACCACAGCAGTGGATAGCAACCGAAAACACACCGTGATGAAATATGCAGGATGTAAGATGCCGAGTTGTCAGGAAAGGGCTGTGATGACTGGGATTACTTTAAAGTGGATTACCTCCCTGCTTAGGCATTTCTGAGGAATAGCAGCTGTATTAATTAAAAGCTGTAGTGAGGAGTGTAATATTAGTTGTTACCAAAATACATAATCTACTTAAGTATAACTAATCCATTTAAATCCGGTCATTGTTCATGTGCAATGTTGCTTTTCTGTGAAGGTAAATTAAACAGCCTTTCCATGAGTACAGCACTTCTACCCCAGCAGTCTAAGACACCGCCGACTTCAGAAGGCAATAATACATCATTTACGCAAATGTGTCTGGAAGAGACAACAGAAGGGATAAACACAATTGTAATGAGTTTCTTGATTCATGAAAACATAAAAGCAACAAAACAGATACATATAGGAACCATCCAGGTTTTTAAATATACACTTAATGTATAAGCAAGACGAATTTAAAGTTTTTTTTTGTTCTAACTCCATGTATCATAAAGGAGAGCAACATGCACTGGACGGCGTTCAAGTTACAGAATGAATCTCATGAAAAGGTAAGGATATACTGACCTCTGCTGGCCGACAACCGAATAACGTCACAAACGTCATTTGCTATCACTTCTGCTGGAGAGAAACTAAAGATAAGGTGGGTGTTAGCAGAGTCCACCAACGAAACTGCTCTTCATGATGTCTGTGGATTACTAGGTAAACGTAACCTCTAGTGACGTCATCATAACCCTGAAAAACAGTGGAGTCGTTCAGCGCTGCGTTTGTTATCCTAGTCCGCCACACAGCGGGGGGGGGGGGGGGGGCTCACTTTATCGCAGGGTTTTCACACTCATTCCTTCCAAGTTAATTCTTTCAGTATATCTATATGAAATCCGAAGCAACAAGCTTTGCCATGAGAATGTAGTACATTTAACTAATTTATCAGACACTTTTTGTCCAAAGTGATAAACTGCAATTGTGCATAAACCCACAAGCGTTGCACTGCCAGCGTAATGCTTTACTTGTGGAGCAAGATATTCTTCATCAATCCCAAGGGGAAATTTATTAAAGTATTTGTGTCAGAAATGGTATAGCAGTACATTAAGTGCCAGTCCGAGTGGGAATCGATAGCCGTGCCTTCAGGCACTGTGACCTAACCCTCTATACTCTTGCGGTGGAACACCAGGCCACAGACGTCTCCCAGCGCCACCTGGGGGGGGATGATGGCACCTCACCCCCCCCCCCAACGTGTCTCGGTTTGCTGTCCGAGCCCAAGCACTTCAGCATAACCAGCTGAGGTCCACAGCAGCTTCAGTCAGACTGAAGGCCATGAGTATCCCACAGCCTGGAGACCATAAATATCCCATTTCGACCCACATGCCCAGCAAGCCCAGGATGTCATCACACTACGCTGGAGATGTGAAGTGACAACACCACCAATTACTCATTATATACTCAGTGGCCACTCACACCATACTCTGTAAACTCTAGATCAGGGGTGTCAAACTCCAGTCCTGGGGGGCCAGAGCCCTGCACAGGTTTTGGTTTCCCCTCATTTAACACACCTGATTCAACTCCTTGTGCTAATTACCACACAGCTCTTGAGCCGAATCATTTGTGGTAGAAGAGGAAAGAACTAAACTACACAGGGCTCCGGCCCCCCAAGACTGGAGTCTGACACCCCTGCTCTAGATACTGTCATGCAGGGTTACCCTATTCCAGTCCTGCAGGGCCAGAATCCAACACAGTTTGCTGATTTCCCTGCTCAAACACATCTTACTCAGCTAATGATCAGGTTAAGTAGGTGTGTTTGAAGAGGGAAATCTGTAAACTATGTTGGACTCCTGCCCTCCAGGACCGGAACTGGGGATCCCTGCTGTGGTGTGAAAATCCCAGGAAGGTGGCTGCTTCTGAGATGCTGGAAACTCCACATACAGGTATGGCACCAAAATGCTTTAAAGTCACTTTGATTTATCATATTGGCCTTTGCAATGTGTAGCTGAACAGTAAGCGAAGTTCCTGCCCCTGACTGAATGCTGTATGTATTCAGCTGCAGATACATGATTGGCTGTTTGGAGGATCAGCCTGTTTACCTCAGCAAGCAGGTGTATCCAACAAACAGTTGAAGTGAATTTGGGCCTCTCCATTTTCCATTGTCGTGTGTGTGTGTGTGTGTGTGTGTGTGTGTGTGTGTGCGTGTGTGTGTGTGTGTGTATGTCCTGCAGTGGACTGGCATCCTTCCATGAACTTCATTCATATTAATACAGTTCACAGAGCAGGTTACCGTGACGATGAAAGGCAGCAATGTCCTTCTCACTCTGCTAGTTTCTCTTCCCTCTTCTTTAAAGGCACGGCCCTTGGGATTCTGGGAACTGCCGAACTCGTGTCCTGTGTGCATTCGCGTTTTTATTCCCGCCGCAGCACCGTATTTGATGGTGAAATAAGTCCTTTAGAGTTCGGTGCCACATTTGGCCACTAGATGGAGCTCTTGGCGCGACAAATTACGCCACCGACTAAACATGCATCTTGTTTCAATGGGTCTCCAAGCCCTACCGTAAGCACGAAGGATGTAAAATACACTGGTGCATTTTATTTCTAGTACATATATTTAAAAAGTGATTTTAAAAGACTTCCTTTTATTTTCAAATGCCGACCAAGTTGAGACCCTGAGCAAACTGACAAATGCAGACTTTTCCGGAACCTGCACAGTAGGTCCAGGAAGTGGGCCAGAGATGCTTTGGCTTCTGTGAAGCTCCTGGGCGTATTTAACACAAATTACACTATATTTCTAGTAGTTCACTACTACACACAAACCGGCATAGAGGAGTCGGAACGTACCGGGGTGCAGCGAGAGAAGGAGAGCAGCTGCTCTCCTGCCTTCTCCGATGATAGCAGCCTCTCAGACGGGCTTTTTCTGTGGAATCTGCGTCGCTCACTGGCACGTCTTTGAAACACATGGAAAAACGCGTTTAAAAGTTGTTTGGGGCTAATTTGATATCGGGATGCAGATCCAATCAACGTTTAAAGCGTCCCATCACTGCGCTTGCTGTGTCTAGACAACAGGAGCGGGTTCAGTCACAGTCAGGTACCCCACCGTCCAGGAGTCACAATCACTTATACAGTGTCACATAGTCGCAAGGAAGTCAGGACCATAGAGCAGCACTTACGACATAAAGACGTAAATGACCGGACTGGGGAAACGTTCACAGAAATTCACTTATATACACGCCACAGCAATTAACACAACTAGAAACATTGATAATACAGGGATTCCACGCGGGGTATATGAGGGGGCCTGACACACATGCAGTTAGTTCTGCAGCATTATGCTGTTAAGATCCAGTGTAAACGCAAACCACCAGTGATGCTGTAGGGCTGCACAGTGACAATACAGACAGGTGGGTAAACAAAAATAGACACCCTCAGCAACAATGAAAGAGTTTATTAATAACATCTCATAACCAAGGCTGTTATTAACTGAGTTGTCAAATGTCGGCACAGTCTTACGGTAAATGGTCACACTTGGTTACTGGTCGTGATCTGACCAACACCATGGTCTGATCATGCAAACTCCTCTGCTTACATTCTCCTTATTATTCTTTGTTTGTTTAGAATATTTCTATAAAATATACAGCTGTACCATTAACTGAAATCAACAGGGAGAGACAGTAGTACTTAGTATTGACAAGTACGCTGCAATTTCCTGGTACACAGTTCACACAATACCCTGTATAAAGACCTTGTATAAAGGCATTTAGGGCACATAGAAATATAGAAAAATACACTACATGTACACAAACAATCAGTCGTCCCACTGAGCTCCAATGAATTTTTTGGAAGTATTTTTGGAAGTTTATTTTGGTGTAAGAGATCCGTCTGGATGCATCAGTGCTGGGTGCTGCTCTTCTGATGTAATGTCAGATGGAGGGCAGAAATCGGGCTCCTGACATATCCACCCTTTAACCATGAAGCAGTTCGCACAGGTAGGTGATGACAGAGCAGCGTGTGGAGGTCTATGCTGTGGCTCCGCATAGTCTGGAGGATGGAGAGCTGTCCTTGGCGTCCTCCGGTCGACCAGGGACCATGAACGGCCACGTCTGATGAGAGCATCGGAAGAAGAAGGTGTAGGTTTTTAGCAGAATAGAATGAGAAGGTCGGCAATCTTTAAAATGAACCAACAGGTCTTTAAGTGTTTCGATCCACGGAGATTCAGTGTTTAATCCAGTTATACAAATACAAACCAAACCGAAGTAGCCTGCGAATGCACGAATATGCTGAAACATGCGTGCAAAACAAAAGATTAACGTCGCAATAAATGTAGAATGTGTGTCAATCTGCGTTTTTCTTTACAGTACTTCGCCAGTGAAATTTTGCGAGACGCGAAGCGGTAATTAATGGAATAAATGAAGTGAATATAAAATGAATCGGGGGGAGCGCCGTACCAGGCTGCCGGGGGGCACTAAGCCGCCGTCGTAAGCGTCCTCCCGCAGCAGCTGCCGCAGGTGTGAGATGTAGCTGGAGGCGAGGCGCAGCGTGTCCAGCTTGGACAGTTTGGTGTCCGCCGGCACCCAGGGCAGGCTGGTCTTCAGGCGACTGAACGCCCGGCTCAGCACCCGCATGCGCGCCCTCTCCCGGGCATTGGCGGCGTTCCGCTGTGACTGCCTGCCATCGCCTTTCTCCAGTCGGGCGTCCCCCGTCCCTGCCCTGGCCCCTCTCTTCTTGCCACTCTTGAAACGTTCGCCGGTGCTGATCTCGTCCTCGGAGCTGTACAGCTGCTCTTTAGCCCGGTCCCGTTTAGACCTCCCGTACTGGATATCCAGCCTCTGAACGGGCAGCTCCTGGAGGTCTTCAACATCGCTTAGAGATCCTGTGGACATGTCAGCTCCGCCAATCCTCCTGGCCAGGAGAAACACCTACAGTAAAGCCTTCTCTCTGCTGGACTTATGTAAACTGATATAATTATTACTCTGTCAGAGGCATTAGGTTTAATTTTGCAATATGTACCATTAGGGCTACACCAGGAGCAGATATCTGAAAATATTAATCGATATTGGCCAAGTCGCAGTTTATGTGTAGTTGAGGAAGTGACCATCAGATAGCCATCAGACTTTAGGCCAGTGGATTTTAATCACACGGCTAATGGAAACCCGCCTTCTTGCGAGTGTAACATGTATGATCCCAGGGTGAGGAGGGAGTTGGCGAATTTAACTGTACAAATGCTGGCAGGTGTTCAGCTTTTTTTTTTTTGGCCAGGCTGGGGGATTTGGTGACGTGTCTCCACCCCTAACATTTTTTAACACTGGGCACTGGAGCGAAAATCTGTAACGTGGGAAATACGTACTGTTATGTTCAGATTATCAAGCCACTTGGGAGCCTGGCTTTAGAATGGACTGTTAGCAAGTCAGTGTTTTTGGCAAATTAGCGCCTATAAGAAGGCCGTGACACAGTGATTACTCTGCGTCATTCTGTGCAGTGTGCCGTACTGGGCCAGTTTGTTTTGTGACAGTGCCGGTGTGCAACCTCATTCTCATATTTACTGTATTTTATTAATACATCTTAACCATCTTTGCTGTAGCCCAGTCCAGAAAGTACTGAATCATCGCTGAGAAAAGCATAATTCATCTCATTTGTCACACTCTGAGATTCCCCACAGCATTTCGCTGTTTGGCTGAGATATTTATTTAAAATGGCACCAAGCGAAGGGGCTCGGTCTGTGCCGGCCAGCCACATGGCTCTCTCGCCGGCCCGTGTGACACCAGCCTATCAACTCACAGCTCTCTCGCCGGCCCGTGTGACATCAGCCTATCAAACGCAGCCAGCGCTTAGTGCATTTCACAGAGATATACGCTCTCTCTACGCGCAGCGCTCTTTCACACGGGGGGCTTTGTGCATCGGACACAGCTGTCAGCGTGTCCCCTTACATCAGTCGACCTCGCACCGCTGGGGGGGGGGGTGGGCAGTGGGGTCACCAGCCTGGGAAGGCAGGCCTGTCCAGAGCATAAACGTATAAACGTGCTGCAGATGCTGATGACGGACACCCCTCAGAGCAGGTGTGTGCGTGGGTCCCCGACAAACAGCACTAAATATTAAACTAGCGCATTCCTTATGTAGGACATGCTAACACGGCTAGCTAGCTACGATCCTCTGACTGTATTCAGTATCCATTTATTTTGCTTTTGAAACATCTGGGGGGTGAGGGGATGGGAGGGGGGGGGGGCGCCAAAGTTACTTTTTGATTGGTGCCCAAGAAACAACAACCCCCCCTGTTGTTATCACGGAAGGGTTGTGTGAGGAGAATTCGTGACCCTGAAAATCTGTGTTTCCAAGATGCTCCCGGATATGTGCCACCCTCAACATGTGCAGCTAGTATTTGAACTACAGATTATATCACATTATATACAATACTCACTCACTATCTGTAAGTATACACTGAAATCTGGTAAAAGGATTAAATGCTTATTCTGTTGTTCTTCAATAATGCATAGCATGAGTAAAGTGATTTAAAAAAAAAACGTGAACCAATGAAACATTACGTTCTCGTTACTGTGGCCTGCAATGAATGCCCTAATATGCAGTCCATCCTTCAGTAAACTCATCACTGGTTTTCAGCATTGTAATCCTGAGACGGCCTCTAATTGTGTTTTTTAATCAATCATACTGCTTGTTCTTGGAACACACTGCACCCCGCGGTGACAGCAGCAGTGACTGCAAGGCCTCAGCCAGTGCGGAGCGCCTCAAACAGCTGTGATTAATTGTATTAAGCTGTGCGAGCACAGTCCCATTCAAGTAGACTTTACTTTCTGAAGACATCCCCACAGGATTGGTCAGCGAACTCTAACCTCCTCATGGGATTGGCCAGAGAACTCTTACCTTTCCATGGGATTGGCCAGAGAAATTGTTTTTTTTCCCAGAGGCCACTTGGCATCAGACAATAGCTCTCATGTAATAGATACGACATGGTGGTAAAGCCATGATCCAGCTCACGCTATCAGTCAGCTGCTGGGGCCAGAGATCACTGCAGCCTGGGACCAAATGGATGGGGCACCTCGTTCCACATCTTAAACGTTTCTGTTGATTGCTGCTTGCCGTGTGCTTGCAGCCTGGTTCTGCTTAACGGCGAAGCCCGCCTATGATTTACGTGGCAGGCACAGCAGAAAGCCGCCATTTGGGCCTTACACTGGAAAAACTGCAGCCGCTTGCAGTCCTGCAGAATGTCACAGGCGTGACACGTCCGGCACGTTTGGGAAGTGGGGCTGTTTCCACACTTCTGTGCATTTCGACTTTGTTCATCAGGGTAGAGAGAGGGAAAACAGGAGCTCATTTAAAATGCTTGCAGGGATCTGAAATACCCACTCATACCTGCCAGCCTTGAAAGGCAGAAAACAGAGAGGCTCCCTGATATCGCTTGGTAAGCTGGATGACATCCACTCTGGCCTGACAATTCCCAGCCAGCCTGACAGCTATTCAGTCCCTTTTAATCTGGATGAAATTGTCATTTTTATTACAAGTCTGACCCTTGGCCAAAGCTTATCTAAAGGCACAGCTGAGAATCAGGCCGCAGACATTTTGAAGGCCTGCCAAGACCATTGGAGG